CCAACAGTCACAAGTTCAAGGTAACTCTCCTTCGGTATCAGTTGATGCTAATCTACGAATCTCTTCCTCCCGCTTTTTAAGACGAAATGAAAAGTGTGTCGGCATTTAACTATTTCTTTATCACTTTCCTCACGCCAGCATGAAACTTAGGGCTAGTGACTTTAATCGAGTCAAATGATCGCTAAAAATATGATAATTTACTTTTTCATTTCAGATTAGCGTCAATCTGATCGACAATTCCGAGGAGATGGTTGGTTTTTCCAAAGAGCACTTTACATTTTGGACACCAGAGCACTCCTTTACGAACAGTTTGTCGTCTGACGATCACCAGCCTCGTCCAAAAATCGCCTCCCCTCCGGTCTGGCTTGGCGACCTGGCCCTGACCTTTGACTCATCTTTCTGTCCTTCACTGTCGGGCCTCAACTGCAGTCTACCCATCCCGTTGGACCGACTCTCTATTCGCCTAGGCAGCTGTACTATAACACCAGCCCATGGCGCCGCTACTACAGATCGCCTAGCTTCCGCATATCAGGGCAATCAAATCTTCATACTCCATAAGTGGTATCCAAGGGAGAGAAACTTTTCGCAGGTCACGAATACTACGTTTATGACCAACCAGACTATGGGACGAAGTACCGGATCCGGTGGTCGAGTTACAGTTTTTCTGCGCCCCGACGCCTGGCCGCTTGATCGAGAACAGGTCGTTGAGCTGACTTGCTCCATATCAGTCGGCCCAAGTGGAGAGGAGTTTGGTGGTCAGACCCGACAGCGACTGCTCCACGCATTTCGCAGTGCCTGGATTCGACTAGAACTTCTCGATGTTAACGACAACCCGCCCCGATTTATCGCACTACAGCAGGATTCAGGAGAGATGCGCCCACTCGTCTGCGGTGAAAAAGATTCCCTAAATGCCACAGTAAGCGTAATTTTAGTGCCTTCGAGAAAGTGTTCGTATCCGCAGCGGACGAGGACATACTCATTGACCGATTTATTTGATGCAGCTAATGATCTAAATAGCTATCTTGACAAGTTGGTCGCAGCAGCATTGCTCCTTGGCAGCCATCGCCGTGATGGATCGTTTTCATATGGTATCAAATGAAGTCGCTATGATCCGACTCCATGTTGAATGAGTTGTACCGCTGGACCTATCCTGAGACCTAAGTGAAAGATAAATAGTTGCGTAGGGACAGTGTATGTATGTTTGTGCTAAAAATGAATGGGCGGAAGGCTATTGTAGAAAAAGGATGTGTAAATACCCATGATAGATTGAAGAGAGATCAAACAGTCTCGACTTTTCTCTGACCTTATTAGCCCTTAAGAGTTATTCGAACCATGAAGGTAAGGATTTAGATAAAATAACGTTTCGATGAAGCTCCTGTGATGACATTATTGGGCAGACTTTCATTCTGTATGAAAGTTCATGATGAAAAAATGTGTAGATTGATCTCACAAGAAGACGACGAATGATTCCCATTGTACTGTAGTCGTTTCGTTTTACTACCTGTTGAGCTCATTTCCATTTTGAGTGAAAGTGTTTGGTGAAAGGGTTCTAAGGTCGATCCCACCAGAGGTTTTCCCACAGCGGTTACCTCTCAACCAGCTATCGATTAGCCTTTCTGGAACATTCTTGTTGGGGCAGATTTCGAAGCCTTCGATTCCATAAAAAACGTACTAGGCTTTCGTCCATCGTATGAACATAGTTAAGCTGACGAGTCAAGAAACGAAACTGGGTTTCGATGAATCTCCTGAGTTAACAAAGAAAGTCTCCCTAACAATGAGTCAAGAAAACTCATCTGCTTATCTATAAATTCTGTGTATCTACCCTATATTAAGGCTGATTGATGATAGATAAGGTGATTTGGTTGGTTCAAGTTATGGGCAAACCTCGAGGCAAGTATGC